TTTACTAAATCGCTAGCAATCCAGCAGGAAAAATAGCATCGTCTGCAGCGGGCTTAAGAGCAGAATTTTCGCATACATTTCTCCTTGGAGTGAATTCAAGACTCGAGTCCCAGGTGGACCGGGAAGAATCGAACGAGCAACGAGATCTCCCATCTTCCGCGTTGTCTAGTTCGTGATAATTCGCGTCCCGCCAAAAAATGGCCGTTCGACGAAAACACAAGCCCGGAGTCGAAGCCGGAGCATTAGGCTAGGTTAGGTTAAGATGAAGTCCTCGCACAACGCCGGATAATGCGGAGATGACAATTCGCCCCTGGACACGGTGTCCTTACTCCCAATTAACGCGCTAATCGCTCTCGCGGACGTCGTCAAGATGGCGAGTTCGGCTGGCAGGATCGTCGTCCTGATCGACATGGACTGTTTCTTCTGTCAAGTCGAGACCAAGCTGCAGCCGCAGTACGCGGGGAAACCTCTCGCTGTCGTCCAATACAATCAATGGGAGATGGGCGGGTAAGCGGATTTCATCTGTTCGCTGTGACAATCGTTTTTCAAATTGGACTTGAAATAAAGAAACCCTGTTGCTGCAGCAACTGACGTGTATAATGATGATAAACATTAGTGTGCTGTCATTTCTGTTCTGTGCATACATTTGCTCCAAAGTCATCCTGCCTTTTCCTGCCCCCAGAGATTTATGCTCCACTGAAGAGACTTGATTGTAAAAAATTGTCATCTTAAACATTTCATTTGTTGTATGACAAAGTTGTCAAACATGCTGGTTAGTCGCAAGATAGAAAAGTTCTTTGGTCTCTAGAAATTTTCTATTTTCGTAGCCAATTTATATGAAACAATTGTTATATGACGTAAAGAAAATATCCTTGGACGCGTACATAATGTAACGTTTATGGTTGGCTGCAGGATAATAGCTGTTAATTACGAAGCGCGTAGTTTTGGCGTAACCAGGCATATGAGGGGCAAAGAAGCTAAAGAGAAGTGTCCGGATATAGTTCTAGCCAGCGTTCCGTGCCTTCGCGGGAAAGCAGACACGTCCAGGTAGTGGTTTGCAGTTAGGGAAAATCTTTTTCCCCCTATTTTGATATACTTTGTCTGAAGTTGCGATAACAAGTAATTGTTTTGTGATTAAATATGACCATGCATGTAATCAAATTTTTTAAATAATTTGTCCCGTGCAGATACAGAAAAGCTGGTCGCGAGGTTATCGAAGCTATAAAGAAGCATTGTAACGTAATAGAGCGTGCCAGCGTCGACGAGGCGTATCTCGACATTACGGACATTGTCGATAAGAGATTGGCCACGTCTAGAGTCTCCCCGAAAGACTTGACATCGTCTCTTGCAAATACCTTCGTCGTAGGATATTCGGAAGTCGGTAAAAATGACGAAGGTAATTCAACTGCCGGCACGAAGCTGACGTGCGATCAGCTTAAACATTGGGTGAATCAAACGTGCATTATTATTCTAGAGGAGAGACGTCAAGGGCTACAGACCTGGTTACTGGACTCTTTCAGAGAATTGCCAGACGTTCAAGCTCAGAGACTCGCTGTAGCTGGCGTGCTAATTGAGGAGATAAGAAATAGTATATACGGAGAAACCGGATTTAGATGTTCTGCCGGCATTGCACAGAACAAGGCTGATATTCCCTTCATATTCTCTACATTTTGCACCGCGCGTTTCAATAATTTGCATGTTGATCGAATGTTTTTGTTAACCTGCAGATATTGGCAAAACTGGCGTGTGGATTGCACAAACCGAATCGCCAAACGATTTTACCGGAAGCAGCCGTTCCAAGCCTTTACGCGACACTTCCGGTGAAGAAGGTTCGAAATCTCGGTGGAAAGTTTGGCGACGTCGTAGTCGAGTCGCTCGGCTGCAAAGTTATGGGGGATTTGCTGCAATACTCCTTGGAACAACTGCAGAAGCACTTTGACGAAAAGACGGGGTTGGCCTTTCTTGTGTGCGCCAAGTTTAACGATAGTAACTTAATAATTTCTAACATAATTGCAATTTTTCAGATCTTGGCTGTACAATATCGCCCGAGGCATCGACGACGAGCCGGTTATTAACAGACTGTTGGCGAAGTCCATCGGGGCGTGTAAAAAGTTTCCTGGGAAGCAAGCTATCACCTCGCTGGAAGTGGTAGAGTCAAACATTTTTTTTCTTTACAGTACGGCGGGCGAGGGGGGTTTATATTAAATGTTAAGTATAGCATTTAAAAAAATATTAAAAGTCGTTTATCAATGTAAAGTACGTGAGTATGCTAAAGCCTGTATCAGACTGCGGATTGAGATTAGATTGAAATTTGACTGAGAACAAAATTCACTAAATTTGACATTAGTTAAACTTTACTCTGATTGGTCAATCTAATCTGAATCCGTAGTCTATGGTCTTAACGACAATGATTCCACGTAACGAAACTGTGTCATATGTCCGAGAGTAACGGCGCGCAGGACAGATTGGAAAAACTGCATACGAGTTCACATATTGGATCAAAATCATTGGGCTACCTACATCTTGCTCGGACCTAAAAATTGATTTGTTTGGTTCTCGTTTCCTACTCAATTTATATTATAAGAAATATAATTATTAATATTACTATAAGAAATAGCTTCTAATATTATACAAAAGATTTATGAAAACGCATTGAGAACATATTTGTTGTGTAGTTAAAGCACTGGGCCGGCGATCTGGCGGCGGAGGTCTGTGAGCGGCTCGAGGAGGACTTCATAGAGAATCAGCGACGTGCGACACTACTCGTGATCGCTTATCATTACTATCAGAACAAAGGCACGATCTCTCAGACGCGCTCGCTCGCCCTGAGCTCGTACAAACCGGAGAAAATGGCGAGTCAATGCGTGGACGTGATCACCAAGTCCACGCAGTGCCCTGTGGTATTTGTGGGCATCTCCGTCACTAAATTCGTGCCCTCGAAAGAGAGCGGTAGTTTCCTGAAATTTTTTAAAAATACCAAACCGAAGGAGGAGGAAGTCGTCGTTTTAGATTCGTTTGGAGATGCAACGAACTCTACGTTTAGTTCAGAAGCGAAAGGAGAACCGTCTTCTGCCTCTGTCAGTAGCAAAGAAATTTGTTCATGGAAAAACACTGAAAGACAGAACCCTCAAAGAGTCAAAGAATCTCCCGTGGTCAAACAATCAGTTGCGAAGAACAATGGGACGACGAAAGGGAGTAAGAGAATTGTCAATAACTTAAATACGAGTGCGGAGGATTCGCCTATGTCGAAGAGAGTTTCCAAGCTGATACAAGTGTGCAATCAGCACGACAAGATCAAAAACAAACGTTTATCAGGTGTAATAATAGATAATAACGATTTCCAAGACTCGTTTTTCATGAACGTGTATAAGACGGGGGAGAAAAAGTGCGATAATAACGTTGAGGACGTTGATACTACGAAGGAATCGCGATGCAGAAAACAATTGGTCGCGTCTGGTGCGGATGATGAAAATGTCGATGATTACAATGCGGATTTACAAGAGAATGCTTGCGGGGTACCTTGCACGAGCCAAGTACACAGCAATGAGGGGCCTGCGGAGAAGAATAAGAGAACTTCCGTGCAAGAACCTTCGGTGCGATTACGAGAGATATTCCCGAACTTGGACGATATAGACCCGGACATTCTGTCCCTGTTGCCGGCCGATTTACAGGAGGAAGCGAGGCTGTACGTGAAATCGCGCGGCAGGAAGCAGGAAAATCTCAAGGTCGCCCGAGAATTGCCGAGGACGGGAAGAGGGAGACCCAGCAAGTCCAAACCCGCTGGCAAGAGCGGCAAGAGGCGCAGTCCCTTGTACAACTTTCTGATCAAGACCAACGCGGGCGAGCACGACGTGCCTCTAGAGCGGTGCGCCGAGTGCGACCAAATGATACCCGTGACCAGGTTCAGCGAACACGCGGACTTCCACGTCGCGCAAAACTTATACCGGGAGATCAACAAGCCATCGTCGGGCGAGAATGGAGGCGCCAAGAGGAAACTCGAGGACGACGAGGTTGTCGTTACTCTCGTGAAGCGTCAAACGTCGAACGTTTTCGAGCCCGGCGGGGATTCTCGGTCGACAACCGCGCTTCCCTCGTGACTGTGCTTGTAAATCTGTCCGATTTTCGTCATTTACAATTATTTGTCTCACTATCAATCGCGATGGCATCACATTCCCATTATGATTGCGGAGAAAATTTCGATGAGCATTTTATGTGTGTATACTCGATATACAGGGTGTTAAAAAAAGACTGGAACCCCTGAATAACTTGGAAAATATGCAAGATGGAAAAATGTTTCCTACAAAAGTTGTAGGGTTTTAAATGATGCATCACATAGTAGCATTATTATGACCTTGAACAGCGCCGTCAAGGTGACGTAAAGATCACCTCTAAATTTTCACGTGGAAACCTACACTTTTTTTATTGCATATTCGTGTAACTTATCATGAGAGCTTTAGAAATCCACTATAATAAAGTATTTTTGTATGCATCACTTCAAGCCTTACGACTTCTGCAGGAAACATTTTTTCTATCTTGCATATTTTCCAAGTTACTCAGGGCTTCTGATCTTTATTGAACACCCTGTATATTTGTATATTGTAAAAATGTATAACAAATCATTGTAATATACGAGTATTAACATTTGTTGAAGCACTGTAACATATATTTTAATTAGAACGTCATGTTTCGAATTACCTGGTATATAAATAATTAACTTGCATTAAACCAAATTTGTAAATATTTATACGTTGACTGACTTTAGCTGGCATATTCGAGAACTGCAAGGCGTTACAAAAGAATGTAATAAATAAAATATCCGCCTTAGAAAACAGAACGATAAGTTATTAATATTATATATTTTAATTAATTAGCTAATTTATATTAAACTAATTTTGTATTTTTATACGTTTATTAGCTTGTGCTGACACGTGTTTGATATAAAGCGCTCGTATAAAATCCGAGACGTGAAAGAATATAATCAAATATCTCTGACAATAAGAAGAAAAAACGGGTTTAATATCGTTAAATAAAATTTCTGGTAGTCGGAGTCAGAGAGAAGCCTCCATTCCAGCCTAGTAAATATAGTCTAGTAAAATAGTCAAGCACTGCCGATAAAGGATGTGTTCGAAAATGGATTCAGTTACTGCCAGTGAAAACAGTATAGTTGGTAGCAATGAAAATTACTGGTGCTGCGTTTTTCGCACGCCAGTAAAGTCAGTAAGGCTGGGTCTACATTTGGATGTCGTAAGTCGTGTCGGAAGGAATTGACCAATCACAGTTCATTATTCGACTTACGACATCAAATGTAAACCCAGCCTTACTGACTT